CCCTGAGACTAATCCGAAGACATATGAACACTTGATTTTTGACAAAGAAGCTAAAATTATACAATGAAAAAAACAAAGTGCCTTCGACAAATGGTGCTGGTATTACTGTATGTTGACACATACAAGAATGCAAATTGATCCGTTATCTGTGCCCATGAACAAAACTGAATTTCAAATGGATCAAAGACCTCAACATAAATCCAATTACACTGAACCTGATAGAAGAGAAGCAGCACAGACACTGAGAGCAACAATTAATACATGAGACCTCCTGCAACTCAGAAGCTTCTGTAAGGCAAAGGACAGGGTCAACAAGACACAATGGCAGCCTACAGAATGGGGAAAGATTTTTACCAAACCCACATCTGACAGAGGGCTGATCTCCAAAATATATAAAGAACTCAAGAAACTAGACATCAAAATACCAATTAATCCAACTTAAAAAATGGGGTACAGATCTAAACAGAGAATTCACAACAGAAGACTATTAAATGGCCAAAAGACATTTAAGGAATTGCTCAAAATCTTTAGCCATTAGGGAAATGCAAATCAAAGACACTGAGATACTGTCTTACATCTGTCAGAATGAATAAGAATAGAACCATTGACAGTTTATGCTGGAGAGGATGCAGAGCAAGGGGAAGAAGCCTCCACTACTGGTGGAGTACAAACTTGTACAGCCACTGTGGAATCAGTATGGCATTATCTCAGAAAATTGGGAATCAACCAGCCTTAATATCCAGCAATACCTGGTGATGGGATGGCCAAACACCCTAATAGTTGTGCCAGAAACCCCATCCAAGAACTGAGGAATCTGGATGCAGAGATCCACGGCGAGGCCCCGGGTGGAGCGCCAGGAGTCTAATTAGCAAGAAAGAGGAGGGTTTATATGAGCGAGAATTGTTGAAACCAAGATTGGATAAAGCACAGGGACAAATAGCCAAACGAATGGAAACACATGAACTATGAACCAAAGGCTGAGGGGCCCCCAACTGGATCAGGCCCTCTGAATAGGTGAGACAGCTTGATCTGTTTGGGAGGCATCTAGGCAGTGGTACCAGGTCCTGGGCTCATTGCATGAGTTAGCTGTTTGAAACCTGGGACTTATGCAGGGACGCTTGGCTCAATCTGGGAGGAGGGGACTGGACCTCCCTGGACTGAGTCTATCAGGTCCATCTCAGTCCTCAGGGGAGGCCTTGCTCTGGAGGAGATGGGAATGGGGGTGGGCTGGGGGGAAGGGGAAGGGGCAGGAAGGGGGAGAACAAGGGAATCTGTGGCTGTTATGTAGAACTGAATAGTATTGTAAAATAAAATAAAATTTTAAAAAAAGATTTAAGGGGAAAAAAACAAAAAAAAAGAAAGAAAGAAAAAGATCCAGCAATACCACTATTGGGCATATACCCAAAAGATGTTCAATCATACCACAAGGTCACTTGCTCAGCCATGATTATAGCAGCATTATTCATAATAGACAGAACCAAGAAACAACCTAGATGGCTCTCAACTGAAGAATGGATAAAGAAAATGTGGTACCTTTACACAATGGAATATTACTCCGTGGTAAAAAAAAAAAATAGTGACACCATGAAATCTGTAGACAGATGCATGGAACTAGATCCTGAGGGAGGTAACCCAGACCCAGAAAGACAAACATGGTATGTGCTCACTCTTAAATGGATATTAGATGCAAGGCAAAGGGTAACCTGGCTACTATGCACAACCCAAGAGAAGCTATGTAAAAAGGAGGACCCTAAGAGGGACACACATGAGGAGCCCTAGAATGGGAAAATAGGTAAGATCTCCTGGGTAAACTGGGAGGGGGTAGAAATGAGGGGATGGGGAATGGGAACAGAAGAGAATGAGATGGCCCAGTGGAGCGAGGGATAGAGGGGGAGAGTAATGAAACAGATGCCTTGATAGAGGGAACCATTAGGTTGTTAGGGAGAAACATGGTGCTAGGAGAATCCCCAGTAATCCACAAGGATGACCACAGCTAAGACTTCAAGTAATAATGGAGAGGGTGCCTGAACACACCTTCCCTATAATTACATTAGTGACTACCTTAATTGTCACAATAGAACCTGCATCCAGTAACTGATGGAAGCAGATGCAGTGATCCACAACCAACACTGGGCTGAGCTCCTAGATTTCCATTGAAGAGTGGCAAGAGGAACCACAGGAGCAAGTGAGGTCAAGATCATGATGGGGAAAACCACAGAGATAGCTTAGCCAAGCTGGAAACTAGAACAAGCATGGGACCAAACTAGGTCCTATAGTAGGATATCCTGCTCAGCATTGACACAGAGGGCAGGGGCTTAGTTCTGCATCAATTTAGTATGCCAGACATTGTTGACTACCCAAAGGAGGCCCAACCCTCTCTGAAGAGTGGACAGGAGGTGGGACAGGGAGTGATGGGGCATTAGAAATATGGAGGAAGGGGGAACTGGAACTGGTATGTAAAATGGAAAATACTTTTTTATACATAAATAAAACAAAAACACATCAAACAGCATCTCCCTGTAGAGACCAAACTAGCCTTAGGCCCCCAACTTTCCAGCCTCAGAGTGACTAGACCTCCCCATCTGCACTGAAGGGCAGTGTACTTACAGACTAGGAGGAACGATCAGATTAAGGCCCTGAGGTAGGGGCCATCTAAGGACCAGGGGATGGTGGGATTATCAGGCACCCAGTGTCAGGCTCTGAGTCACTTTCACCAGCCTAACAGTGCAGCCTGAGTCAGCTCTGCTGTGTGGGAACTCCCCCAGTGACATCACACCATGGAAAACTCCATCTCACACAGCCTGCCTTTGTAGATCTGGGCCTCAGGCTGGGAATGAAGTAGCCACTCAAACAACACTGGCTCCTGGATTTCCAAAGGTCAAGAATGGCCTGTGGGAAAGGTCTGAGAACACAATCATTTTAGAGTTTGGATCTTTCTGGATGTTTCAACATTTAGAAATAGAAAAAAGGAGCTTGGAATAGTGATGCATGCCTTGATCTCAACCAATTGGGAAATGAGGAGGAGAATTGAAGACTGGCTGCAGTGCAAGTTCCAGGAGAGCCTGTGTCTCAAAAAAGTCATGTTAACTGTGCCACCATTCTCATGGCTGCTGAGGCCAGATCTGAGAAGTCTGAAGCCAGGCTGTATCCTGTGCAGCTGTGAATAAGCTCGAGAAGGCTTGGGACACCTGAAGCATGTGAAAAGGAGAAGAAACCCGCAGACCCCTGAGACACTTCCCTGCCTGTAGAAGACAGGAAAGTTGACATTCACAGAGGGGGAATCTCAAGCCTGAACTTTGATAACCAGCTAGGCAAAGTCTTATCCCCCAGTTCATTTCCTGAACATGATCCAACTACCAAGAGTGGGCAGAGATGAACATTGTGGAAGGCAGGTGCTGTCCCCTGTCAGCTTGACCTAAGGGCATTTGGAAGACCATGAACCCTCCTCTATAGTGATATTTTATTTGTACTGAAATGTGATTTGTATGTTAATAAATAAAGTTGCCTGGGGGTCAGAGCTATTAGCAAGCCATAGTGAAAGCTGGGCAATGGTGGTGCACGTCTTTAATCCCAGCACTTGGCAGGCAGAGCTAGGTAGATCTCTGTGTGTTCAAGGATACAGCCAGCACTGGAGACACATGCCTTTAATCTCAATACCAACCATAGAAGACCTGGAGGTCTGTACAGACAGGCAGTGATGAGGTGCTCATGTGGTTGGGTTTACAACCAATGAGAAGGCAGAACAGAAAGTCTTTATAAAGACAGACACACAGGAGGTAGCTCTCTTTTGGAGAGGTAGGACCACCATGAGAGAAAGGGTAAGGTTTTTAGCTCTTAGATCTGACCTCTTGGCTTTCTTCTTTGCATTGGTTCTGTGTTTCTTATTTAATAAGATGGTTGGTTACATCTACACTCCTCTGGATGGGACATCAGTGAGATAAGAGGCAGGACCATGCAGAAGGGGTTTCTGTCTTTGCTGGGTGAATAACTATATATCCTGGGCAGGGTATCTGTTCATGGAAGTGTGATGTTCCACAATTGATTGTTAGAAAGACCAAGCTGTCTGAGGTCTCAACTATACAGCTGACTCCAAGCCTCTTTCTAATTACTGGGATATGCAGGCAATCCTTTATACTTTTCCATCTAGATCTACTGCCTCATCTCTGGATTCATGTGAGCAATCACACTCTCTGAGTATCTTCCCACTCTCTCTATACCACCTCCCTCCTCTGATTTCTTTACCCCCAATACTGTCAACTATGTTCTTAAAAGAGTTTTTTATCAGTTTAGGGCATATGCCTTGCTCCTAAATTCCAGTATGTCCTCAACTTGTTGGTCTCCACAAGACTCTATTTAGAAATAAAGTTGACAATCACATTTATTTGCTTGGAGCTTCAAAATCTGAAATGACACACATCACCCAAAAGTTTCATCAGTCCTAGGCTGCAAGGATAATACTTTGGTGGACAAAGTCCAGAGATTCGGTTGGAGAACATGCACTCCAGGCTGACCATGACCTGGCTTCTCTTTATAGTGATGTCATGATAAGAAATGTGAGGTTTGGATATAACAAAGCTGTATGATGCAACAACTCGAGTCTCTCCCCTTGCCTGTCATGTCCTCCTAATAGATCTTGTTAGCAGTGCCACCTCTTCAAGAGCATGTGGATTGGAACACGTAGCTCTAAAACTAGGCATTTGGCTTTTGTTTACTGGTTGAAGCACCACAGCAGTGATCTACATCATGTTCTACTCCATGATTGTATGCCTGGTGTGTGTGTGTGTGTGTGTGTGTGTGTGTGTGTGTGTGTGTGTGTGTGTGTTGTCGTCTCACTCATGATGCCTCTCCATAGCCAACACTAAACTCTGACTTACCACTCCATTTTCATCAATCTATGAATTCAAGGATTGGGTTATCATACTCTTTCCATGAATTGCTTGCTTTCAATATCGGAGAGCTCACCTGGGCTCAGTGGCTCCAACCAGACTGTCCAGAGATAGTCACATCTTCACTCACAACCTCATAGCTTGAGTGAGCTCTACTGACACTCTGGGGGAATCTTCATAGCTAAATACATGACTTTTTTTGAGCCCATCAATCTCTAAAATTCTGAGGATCTTCCCTGTGTGATTGTTCACTTCAGAGGTCTCATCCCTACTACTCCCCATTCTCTTGACCTCATTTCTAGGCATCTTTTCTTTCTCAAATTATTGATTATGAATCTTAAGGAGGGGAAAATCCAACCCAGGACAATGCATGCAAAGTGAGCTTTCAACTTAGATAACGTTTCTAATGAAGCAGAGGCCTAGATTTCTGGCTTTGGAAGGAGGATCTACCTAAAGGATTCCATTGTGAACCCAGGTCTCCTGAAAATGGCACCTTGGTTTCAAGTCACTTTTGGGTGAGGTATGTAGCAGGGATGAAATAGCTATACCAGGTGACATCAGCACATGGACATTCTACTGTATCCTGGAGAGCCCTGGCATTCCATGTGATGTCACCAGTGTTGTGGCAACCCCAACTGTCATTGGGGCATTTATGCAGTGTCTCGTGTTTCACCTACAGACATGCTGACTAGACTGAACAGGATTCTTGGGAGACAGGATGGCAAGCACAGGGAGACCAAAGGGAGGCAGAAGGAAGAAGGCCTTCAGTCTCCATGTCACACATCAAGAAATAAATGGTCCTGGGGAAAGCGCAGTGAGTCCTGGGAAAGGGATGTGGGGCTTCATGAAGGAGGAAGGCTTTAGCTGATCCTTCCAGGAGTGGGGCTAAGCAGGTGAGAATTTCTGAGAAGCAATGGGCCTACCTGCTCCTCTGAGTTCTTCAAGAGCAGAACAAAGTTGAGGATTTTCAAGGTTAGTTTGGCAGAGAGCCAGGGATGGTCAAGGCTGCAGCTGCTCTGTTGAGGGCCCTCTGCTTTCACTCTGAGTGGGAACAAAGCACATGGGGGCTAAAGAGGTTTCAGTACCAGCCCAGCAACTCACCCACACTGGATGTCTTTTGGTGTGTGTCACTAATAACAGGGAGAGTAATATCCCCTGGCCAGAGTCAGAGGTTCTCACATTTTAAATAACAACCATTAGCAGGGCAGGAACCATCATGTCAGTGATCCCTAAGGTTTCAGAGTTCCTGCCTCTCATAGCCAGTCATCTTTCCTCTACCTTGAGTGCAGGACTGGGACATCACTCTTCCTGTAAGTATTTGTTCTTGGTCAGAGGGCTCAACTGTGGATGCCCAGTCCTTAGGTATTTTCAGTCACATCTTTCAATAGTTGATAACACCTTTGCTAACATCATGATGGCTGGAATATATTCTGGTGAAGCTTTTGGCAAAAGTTTCATCTTTACCTATGTGACTTATCATTGTTCTGACAGGACCCACATAATCCCCCCCACCCCCATACATTGTAACTGCTCCATGGATCTTCTCTAATGTGCTTGTTCACTTCGTGGAACTGATCTTTCTTCCCAATTATCCTCAGTTAAATTCTTAGCATCCTTTATTTCTCATGTTATTAGTTAGTAATCATCAGGATGAGAAGAGCCATTCCTGGGCAGAGTTTGGAAAATTAGTCTTGCTCTCCACACATGATGAACTACTAAATTAGAATGAACTAGATTCTAATGAATCAGAGTTGGGTTGGAAGGAGGACATACTGAAACTGAGTCTCAGGGACGGTTCCTGGAATGCGCAGCTTGTCTTTTAGTGAATTGGGGAAGAGTTTGCTATCAGATAGGGGACGACATTGGCAGTGACCCTAAGTCCCTTCTCTGGATATTCTATTGTATCCTCGAGAGCCCTTGGCATCTTCTGTGAAATCACCAGTGTTGTGGCAATGCCAACTGCGCTTGAGGCATTCATTAAGTGCTTACAGGGTTGACCAATCGACATGGTGGCAAGACTGAGTACACTGATTGGCAGAGAAAGCCCTGGTTTTCTAAGGAGGAATGTATGCCAGAATTGAACCTTCTCTTAATGGGGTTCAGTAGCTGTAATCATCTGAAGTCATGCGCCTATGCTGCTTCTCTGGATCCCTAAAGAGCAGATCCAAAGTGGAGGTTTCTGATGGTTAGTTGGCAGAGGGCCAGGAACGGTCAAGGATGCAGTGCTGTGCTAGGACCTTTTTCAGTTCATTCTGACTGTCAAAGAATGCCAAAGGAGGCCCAGAACCACTAATGAGGTATCAGGGTAGCATGTTGCTGCACTTTATTCTCAGTGGATTTCTATATGTTTCATGGATATCTGATATAAATACCAGGGAGGGAAACTTTCCATCCATGTACCCAGGTCTGAGACATTCAGTTGCTTTTAGTCCTGCACACAGATTATCAGGGCTGAGAGACGCAAAGCACCAGGCACTCCAGGACTTTTGTGTATCACATCAGGTATTGGCTGACAATTCCAAACCAACATGGCTGGCCTTGCTTATGCCTTTCAGGGACAGTGGGGCTGCAGTAGGGCCTGAGGCATGTATCTATCCTCAGAGATTGGAGACAGACACATCGCTTATGGTCCCCAGTTTAAGGATATCTGCTCTGAATTTTAGGGCTTAATTGGGTGCCATGCATTTCCTCTTCCTCAGGCCTCCTCTTGGGACTCCACATGATCTCTCTTGGCCCTATGCCATTCATCTGTACAAATTCACTGTGTTTATGTACCTATAGGGACTACTAGGAAAACATCATCCACACCTGTCTTCCTCACTGAGCAGGAGCAGCAGGTGAACCAAGTGGATAAACTGATCTTTCAGCTACAGATGATGACCAATGAGAGGAATGAACTACTTGAATTCCTGGCCCTTTATAACAACAACGAGTTGAACAACAGGTATTCATCATGCTGTGTTTTCTGGTCACTGTATTGACCCTACTGTGTCCTGAGTGCATCTGAGAGGCAGAACTGAAGAAGTGAGATAGGACACAGGCTGTTCTGATTCCTCCAAATGAAAACCAGAGCCTGTGGCCTGAATCACAATCTACAGAAGGGCAGTAGGGTGTAAGATCACAACATGCATTTCAAGAGGCTTTAATAGGCATTGGCTTTTAGGAGATGCTCAGTGCGCTGAGTTGATTGTTTATATTTGACTAGATATTTCCTTTTGCTTGTTGCTTCGGGAGCATCTGTGTGTCTGGAATGCCTAGAGTTCACCACTGCTCCTCTCTGGTCTTGTTCCTTATACTTTGAGGCAATGCCCCCTACCTGCATTTCTTTGACATCCTGTGTGTGGGTTCATGTGTGTGAAGTCCTCTCTAAGGGGCCCAAACATTGCAAACATGGCAGTGGCAGATTTTGCCTTTTTCACTTCTCTCTCCCTTGATAAACCATTAGATTACATTCATAAATTTAGACCCCAGAGTTTATTCCCTTTTGTGGACACCGACTCATTCTTGAAACTAAACACCAAAGTCCAACAATCAAAATTCATTACTTGGCTACACTGGCTAACCTGTCCAATCAGATCTCAACAACTCACCCTAGCACAGACTTAACCTTTCTACATAAAAACCCACTGCTGAAAAAAGCCTACTGCATGTTGTCTGCCTTTGCCTGACCCAGAGACAGGCTCCCAATGCCATGCTTGCCCTGCTAGGGTAATGAATCTCCTTGTGCTGAGGACTGGGTGTCTGAGTGTGTTTGTACTGTCTCTGAGAGGCTCCCTTACAGACAGTGTGTGTGTGTGTGTGTGTGTGTGTGTGTGTGTGTGTGTCCTTTCAGATCCTGAGAGACAGAGATTGATAGTAGGTCTGAATATTCACATGTCTCAAAGATTTCTGGTGATGGAAGTGCTGAGGCCAGGGAGCCCCACATTGAACATCACTGCTCTCAGCCTTTGTGCTCATCCTGGTTCCTCATTGGAATCCCCTTGGGTGTTTATAAAGCCATCTGAATGTAGTGCCTCCCCATGGCAATACAGATCATGAGTTCTGGGTATCTGTAAGGAGAAAGAATCTCTGTTCTCAAGACAGTGGGAATGTCATTGCAGATTTCAGATACACCCCCATCTGTGGCACAGACTGCTCAGACCTTCATAGCCAGCTAGTCTGCTCCCAGAGGTCTACTGAGGGAGCTCATGTAGTCCTGTTTCCTTTCCTATTGACACCCAGCCTTTCCTGGCCCTGGGGCAGGGTATCAAGTCTAATGCACACCAGGAAGTCCAGTATAGAATTCAGGGTATGACATCCAGTCGGCTAGGGTAGTATAAAATAGAACCATAATTCATGTGGTCCCTGACACCCATGTTCATGGGGTTCTTTGCTCCTGGGGCCATGCCCTACCACAGGCTGAAATCTGAGATTGAGATGCTGAAAACACAGCATAAGAAGGAGATGTCAGATGTAAAGAAATTCCCCGACAAGATTTGTGAGGCCTCGTACAAGTGCAAGGAGCTGAGTGAGCAGACCAACTCCTACCGGTGAGTGCCTAATTTAGATGGGACCCCTGCAATTGTTAAGGACTGCTTCTGGTACTCTGAAGTTTTTCTAGTCCTACCTGACCCAGCTGTCAGGAGGAATCTGTCCCACCTACCTCCTGCAGCCAAGTGGTCCCAAAGACACACACAGAGGCTTATAGTACTTAAAAACTGTATGGCCAATGGCTTAAGTTTCTGGCTAGCTAGCTCTATCATCTTAAATTAACCCATTTCTATTAATCTATGTTTGCCACATGGCTGCTGCATGGCCAGGCTGCTGGCATGTTTCTCCTTGGGTGGAAGCTGGCATCTCCTCCACCTCTGACTTTCTTCTCTGACTCTCCTGGATTTTTCTGCCTGGCTCCATCCTGCCTTGCCATAGGCCAAAGCAGCTTATTTATTAACCAATGGGAGCAACACATATTCACAGCATACAGAAAGACATCCCACAGCAGCTTCTTCCCTTCTTCACCTCTGAACAAAGTTGGGCTGTGGTTCTAGCCTGTTTACCTCTTAGCAAGCAGCCTGTCTGATAGCTCTTGGACTTGTGCCTCCTAGACTGAGTTCTCCTAAGAGTGAAGAGTCTGAGAGTCCCTCCCAACTTTTTCCTGTCAGCTTCTGGAACATATAGACAGAAAACAGGGCTTGCACTATGAATGGTTTCTGTGGCTCTGGCAGGAGCTTACAGAGCTGGTTTCTATGGGAAACATGGATGGAATGTATTCCTGTTGAGTCATCTGTACCCCTCAGAGCATGGATTCCCTCTACCAGCTCATGTTTTCCCAATACTGTAAACAGTTAAGCCCCAGGGTGTGTGGGGAGGATGTGGGGGATCCAGTTTTCAGAGGTATATGGATCCCTTTTGCTGTTGGGATCTTCAGAAGTATTTTAAATCTTTCTGAAATTTGGCTATTCTCTGTTTATGGCCTGCACCTGAGTGATGCTGGCATGGCTAATGTGGGTCCAGCCCAGGGTTTTGGGGATAACGACATGGGAACTTGCAGAATCATGGTATTAGGAAGCAGGAGGGGCAGATGGAGGTGGAGCTCATCATTTTTTGGTGATATTTCAGCACCCTCTACAGTCAGCTTCTTAGTGAATGGACTCAGCTAAAGGAAAAAGTGAGCATGTTGAAAGAGGACAACAGAGAGCTGGAGAGATGGCTCAGAGGTTAAGAGCACCGACTGTTCTTCCAGAGGTCCTGAGTTCAATTCCCAGCAACCACATGGTGGCTCACAACCATCTGTAATGAGATCTGGCTCCCTCTTCTGTTTACATAATAAATAAATAAACCTTAAAAAATATTTTAAAAAAGAGGACAACAGAAAGCTACATGGGGAGCAGATTTTACTACAAGAGTCCTGCGAGGAGGCCAGGAGGCTCTGTGAGGAGGCTCATGAGAAGATCTATGACCTCTGCACAAAACAGCAGCAGGTAGGTTGAAGCAGCAGGGCCAAGATGCCCACTTGTCTAACCATACACACACATATACACACACCCATGTAACCATCTACTCACTTATCCAACTGACCCATCCCATCCAATAGTTCATTTCTGTGATCATTCGCAAGTCTTTCTGGGGAGTTAGCCTCTTGGAAGGCACTGCATGACTGCCAAGGAACCCTGCTGCTCTGCTAGAAGCTGCAGTACATTAAGGGAGATTAGTAAATCACATGTCACTCACCTACGTGTCAGTATGGTAGGAGCGGTGTTATGATGGGAGCCACTTAGGGAGTAGCACAGCGATCTGAGTGAGTGAGGTCAAGGGTCTTGGTCTCTTTTGCTTGGCAGGGGTCATATGAGATCAGAGGCAGGAACAGCATGGAAGGAGGAATGCCCCCTACAAACGCCAAATGACTGGGTCTTATGGACATTTTTGGGGGCGTCATATGGCATTTTACCCTCTTGTTCCCAGACTGCCATGGTGTTCTCTTTACCTGGTCTTGGTTCACACTAACAGAAAATAAATTAACAGTTTGTCAATATTGTTTGCTGTGAGTGGCATTGGCCAGTTCACCCATCCTGGATCTGTGGGTGACCTAAGTAGTGTCCTAATGTCTGACCTGGGCTGTTTTAACATAACATGCACTATAATCTGTTAAAAAGTTGTTGGGTAATGACAATGGGTGACTTCCATTCTCTGGTCTATCACTGTCTTCTGTGGAGGAGTCTAGGCAGGTTTAGGGAGAAGACTATGATGGGTCAACCTGGATCTATCAGGAGGCTTCCTGTCCAGCCCTCTTCCATGAGCACCTGGTTTTATGTGGTCAAACTCAGTTGTGCAGAGGTTGTTACTTATCTGTACAATCAGTGAATCTGGTGATAAAAACTTCCCTGGGAGGGTAAATAAGTTCAGGCCAGGGCAGAAGAGCCTGGATTGGTCTGAGTCTTGTAGAGAACAAGGAGGACCCATGCATCCCCCTAGAGTAGAAAAGGTGCTGCAACATTCTAGTCTTCTGCCTTGCTCTTCTGGGTTCAAGAAAGGTGTGTGTGTGTGTGTGTGTGTGTGTGTGTGTGTGTGTGTGTGTGTGTTAGTGTGTGTTAGTGTGTGTGTGTGTCTGTGTCTATGTGTCTGTGTCTGTGTGTGTGTCTGTGTGTTGTCTTAAGTGTATCTTTGTGAGTATGGGAACATGTGTTTGAGGCTCTATGTGTATGTTTACTCACTCATGGAACAATGGAACATCTTTAAGAATGATGGAGACAGATTTCAATGAGAAAGTACTGTGCCTAACCTGGTTAGTACCACTTTGCATCAGTCAAAGAACAGATGGTGTTTTCCATCATTCTGCATGTCCACACAGCTAACTACAACAAAAGACAGAAAACTGATGAAGGCTAAAAGTCCTTCAGGTAGTTGTAGAGGCAGAATTATTTATCTGCAAAGAAATCCTCTGGAGAAAAACAAAGTAATAGGGTACATGAAGGTGCAAAAGAGGCTACTGAGAAGAGGAAAGGCTGCCTGAGGGTTTGTGTCCTTCTCTGCTCTGGGTGAATGGTGGCTGACCACTGATGACTTCCCTGCATCCTGTTTTGTTTTTCTCCTCATTGCCTGCTGCCATTTTCCTTTCACCTTTGCCCAACCTTGGTTCAGCTAACCTTGTCCTTGGAGCTTGGCCTGGATTTTATTCTCTGAGAAATTCTGGACTGCAGAGGGTCTTGTGACTGCATCTCAGCCCAGCAGAAGTCCCACAGCTATGCTGAGGTGTGAGAAGAGGCTGTCTCAGTGCACCCCTTAGGCTCATCGCACTCTAAAGCACCCACTCCATGTTGTCTGCAGCACTCAGAAACTGCTTGTATTCCAAAGTTCTTCATACTGCGTTAAAATCTGCCTGATGGAGGGTTGGAAGAAATGAAAACTCTCAGACATTGCTAGTAGTGTAAAATAATGCAGGCCTGTGAGAAGCTATGTACAATTATTCAGAATGTGGAATGCAGACTCCAAGTGGACCATTGATCGCTGAATGTAAAGTAGGTGTCCACAGAGAAAAGGGGACAACAGGGTTACAACAGGACTCATCAGAACAACCCCAGCTAGAAACTAATCAGATGTCCAGCATTAATGACTGATAACATACAAGGTGGTCCATAGAATATTGTTAAGCATGGAATAATACATGCAATCATTTGGCTGTAAGTTAGTCAACCTTCTGTCACTCAAAGTAAACCCTGACACAATCATATTACTTGGAGGAAAGGTTAATATAGACTCAGGATTTTAGAGATTTTCTAGTTTTCTGAGCTCACTGCTTTGGGCCTAAATCAAGGCAACCTATGGTTTAGAGAGCTTCTTTAGGAGGCAGCTGCCCTCCTTGCAGGAACAGGGATTGTGTGAGAGCAAGAGTCTGGTCAGTGCCATCCAGTAGTCCTGTACTGGGGAACTAAGCCTTCAATGCACAGACTAGGAACTTGCTAGGAGAGCTTGGATTACTGGTCAAAGAACCCTGGTGTTCACCTGTCTATGTACAGGTTTACAAGGCAAGCACTACATTGACTGATCTGCCCACTGAGTTCTCCCAGGTCACCAGGCATGCATGTATTATACAGACTCACAGGCAGCAGAACACCCGCACATATCAAGTAAAAATGAAATGGAAATTATCAAAACAGGGTAAAAGTTCACAATCTTCACCACATCACTGTGTTCAGAGCATCCTGTGTATTCCTTTTTCTTCAATGGAATATGAGTAGAGAGGGTGTAGGTTAATGAAAGGTCACTTTCTTCTCCATAGTAACCCAAGTGATCTCATCTAACATCAGTGTTATCTGGGAAACTAAACATGGATGCAATGTAGTGTGCTTGTATGTGTGTATCCATGTACGTGTGTGTGTGTGTGTGTGTGTGTGTGTGTGTGTGTGTGTGTGTGTGTGTATGTGTCTATATGTCCAGGGGTACAGACAACCCTCTCCTAAAAACACAATGTTCTAATGAACAGGAACATCAAAGACTTGAGGAAGATTTTCAGTCCCTGTTGAAGCAGAAGGAGCTGCTCATCCGGCAAAGGGACTTGGCAGCAAAGCTGCAGCATCACTTCACTGTGTCCCAGATGAGGTAGGAGCCCAGGCTTCCAGAAGCAGGGGGATCCAAGTGGTTCTGCTGTACCTGGATCTCTGTCCTCTGAGTTTCTGTTCAATTGGCAAAGCTTCCAGGCACAGCCAGGAAAAGAATACCTCAGAGTGTCATTGCTGACTCAGTCAATAGGAACTTATGTCCAGGAAGCAATATGCTTCCTCCTTGGTCTTATGGGGATTGTGTCCCCTTCTTCCCTTCTGAGAACTCTAGTATCCTCTGAGTATCTCAAATCTAACATTTGATCTCCCTGCAAATATTCCCATGGCAGCCAGAAACCTAGAGGGGGTGGGTCATCAACCATGAAGGAAAGTGTATCCTCCTACAAATTTATTTTCCATCAGGAACATGATGTTTAGAGATAAGTGTCAACCCTCTGGCTGATTTATATACAGCACACTCCTGCTGATTGCAGACTCTCTGCACTATTTATCAGTTTCTCATGAGAAGATTTACTCTGGTCATAAACAGAGTAGGAGTTGACAAGTTAATCCCATGCAGGGTTCTGAGCTGTAGGAATAATCAGAGCCTTCTCTGCATTGCTGTGTAGGCTCCACTAGAGGGCAGGCATAGAGTTTTCTAGGAGGTTCACATTCACCTGGTATCTATCAAGACCAGGTATATCTTTCCTGACCTATGCCTCAAACTTTGCCATACTGATATTTCTCCAAAATGATGTCTTTGGACTGTTGGAGAAACATGGTCTTTTTTCTAATTCAGTACAGTGTGTGTTTTCCAGTTCAACTTCTAGCAGTTTTTTAAAAAGTTGAGAAAAAAATCCTACCCAGTTGGATTTCTCTGAGAAATCTCGTGAGGCAAATATCAACCTTTCTCTGACCTTTCTCCCTTGGGGAAGCAGGAAATTAACTCAGCTGAAAGGTAATGCTCGATTGTCTAGCTGAGTAGACCTGGTGGGGGCTCAAAAGCTGACATGGCAGGTCCCCACCAGGCTTGTGTCCCAGCTGTCTTCCTCCCCTAGGTTTGAAAACCTCCAGCAGGAACTGGAGCTGACCACAGCCCAGGATGAGAGCCTCCTGCAGATGGAGCTGCTGAAACAGAAACACTATGTCCCAGGCAAGTAAGCCACCACTGAGTCTCATCCCCAGCAGCCAGGGTGTTCATGGGGTGTGTTTCCTTCCTTAACTTTTGTTTGCTAGGGATAAATAGCCCCTGATTTTCTTGACAGTGACACAGCAAAACTGTTTCTGAATCATATTTTCTTTATGGATTTTCCCTGATAGCACCTCTTAGAAAAACTGAGAAGGCTGGAAGAAGCCAGAGACACCTTGAAGGCATGACATTCTACACTCCAGGTTCAAGGCCTCCTCAGAAAATGCATTTCAAACCTGTTTTCAGCTTTGAACTCACTCGCGAGGCAAATATCAACCTTCCATCAGGTGATCCAGCCACAATCTGATCCACATCTGGCTCACTATTCCTAGAGAATAGAGTGTATCACAATAAGTCTGAGACACAGAGAACATAACACAAATTACTAAGAACCCTGACATCCATCAGCAAGTGGCCCCAGTGAGGGGCAAAACAACACAAAAGAGGAATGTGGGTGAGCAAGAGTTATTCTGTCAGCTTCCTATCAAGGGCTTTGGCAAGCTGACTTCATATGTGATGGGAAATCGGACAAGGAAGACTGTGTTAATGTCACACTGCCATCCAGACAGACCACACCAAAAGCATAAGATTCTCTCTAGTGCAGTGCTAAAACTGAAGCCATGTCATGGGCAAGTGTTGCTGAAGATAATTCACTACAGAGAATACGCCAGTTCCTCACCTCTTTTGCTCTTCCATAGTGAAATTCCAAAGGAAACTGAAATTTCCTCCTTTTTTTTGGTTTATATCTTGGAATATTTATGCTTTGGTTTTGGGTTTTCTTCATTTTGGTTTAAGGTTTTGGTAACTTTTGTTATTTCTTTTATTCTTGTTATTGTTTTAATAGTTTCCTAAGGCTATATAGTGTATTTAATGACTGCTGTTTTGAAAGCCCCTACTGAGTAAAATGAATATATTTTTATAAATAAAATGCAATTTCAAACTTTTCACTCTAAGACTCTTGTTTAGTCAGCTAAGGATTCACACTCCTGTAAACCCAGAACTCACAGGTTTGGATCTCAGTAACTTCCAGGAATCTCAGGCTGCACAAGGATTTCCCAGTCATGGGCCTCAGGGCTACACAGGGGGATGGCACCTTGGATGTGGACGGCATTGCCTACTCCATGGATACCCACTACATAAGAAAAAAACTAGACATATTTTATCCTTGAGGTCATATATTTAGCTACCAGTAAAATATGGTACACTGTACACACATGTTCACAAAATCATCATGAAAACCCAAAGGAAAAGAAAAATATATTGCTGTAGGCCTCTCAGAAAATTTAATGAAAGAGAACATTCATTAAAATTATATAAAAGAAATCAGGAAATGAAAAGCAATCTGCCTCTGGTTTCCTTGAAATATAACATGAGTGACAACTGAACGAACAGCAGAGATAATTTACTGCAAGACAAGTTGGGACTTTTTTTGTGGTGCTTTTCTTTATACTTATGGGTGTTTGGGCACTTCTTGGGGTTTTTTCTAACTTAGGAAGACTTGTGCTGTGAATATTTGTACTATGTAAGTAATCATGCTTTTCTCTTGTTAATTTTGGTTTTGTTGTGGAGTCCCTAACAAGGAACCTAAGATATGTGGAACCAATGATTAGACTCTCCTATAAAAAAAAAAAAGTGCTCTCCTCTCAAAAACATCTTCTATTAGCCCCACCATAATCTGTTTTATTATGCCTTCTCAGTATATCTTGGAGGTTTGTTAATTTGAAAGTAAGAAGCCCCCATAATCTCATAGGGATTGGCACTATTAGGGGGTGTAGCTTTGTTGGAGGGAGTGTGGCCTTGTTGGAGGATTTTGTTACAGTGGGGGAGGGTTGAGATCTCTTATGCTCATTCCATGCCTAGTGTCTCAGAGCACATTTGCTGCCTGTGGATCAAGATGTAGCTTCTTCTCCACATTTTTCTCCTTCTCCAGCACCATGTCTGCCTGCATGCCTCCTTGTCCTGCCATGATCATAATGAACTAAACCTCTGAAACTGTAAGCCACCTGATTAAATGTTTTCCTTTGTAATTGTTGCTATGGTCATGGTGTCCCTTCACAGCAATGAAACCCTAACTAAGACAGTAAGTATCCAACATAATCACAGAGAACAATGGACTCAGGAAAGAATTCTACTTCTGGACCACCCTTTGAGCATGGATCTCTTATATAAACCAGCTCAGATGCAGAATACCTTGTAAGGTTTGTACATTTAGCTGTATTTGTTACAAATGCTTTTAGATCTGTATCTTCTTTATAGACACCACTGCAGAGAAAGCCAAGGACAATCATTTCACCATGCTAAGTAGAAATCTAGGACAGCCATGTGTCATGCAGTGGATAAGAGCTGATCCATTTTTCTACACTGAGTAGCAGCATGCAGAGTCAGAAATACCTTTCTCTTTGTGTTCTGTCTTTTTGCCTCCTATTACTTCAGACATGACCTTTCACCCATTGAACTAGAACTTTCCCAACACATGCAGTCAGCCCACCCAAATGAACTCCTTCCCCTGCTACTCACCCTGGTTACCTCCGTGTCTTCAAAGACTAATGTAATAAATGTTTCCTAAGTCTACACAGAAACATAAACTAGTACATGAAGAAATTAACAACTCAATTTCTGGGCAACTAGAAGATGTTTTAGATAGAGACAGTAGTGGCCACTACCATTGTGGAGAATGATACCTCATGACATATATATTTAAGGCTGCATTATTCAGTGGAGAAAAAAATTAACAAATAAGATTAATATTAAACTACTGAAGTGATACACAGTAATTGAAAAAAGTGTTGAAGGAAGTTTTGATATTCATTTCTAGATACTAAAGCAAAGATTATTTCTCATATTTCTTTTTGAAGGTTATATTTTACATATTTTCTAATAAGGCAAATGCAGTAACTCTGTTTTGAATTTAAAAGTTATGCCTTTCCAAAAAACATAACAGATATGCAGAGTTGAAGGCAGAAAAGAGCTAACACAGCAAGCTGGCCACTCAAAAGGTTCTGCTGCTTCCTGGCTGGTGTCTGGGACTTAGGATTTCAGTTTATCTTTATATTTTTATATATACATATTTATGCAGTTAGATATGGTTGTACATAAAAACATGCACATAACTATACCCATAGCTCTGCATACAACATGCATACCATATGCATGTGTACCGATACCACAAATGTTTGTTTCTTTTTATTTTCTTGTTACCCCAATTTATTGTATGTCTAATTTAATTTCAAAGTATATTTCTATGTGTGGGTATGTGTGTGTGCATGCAAAGGTGTAGACAAATACATGTTTTTAAATTTACGAATATGGGCACATATATGTGAGTATAGTGTGTGAAAAAGCACGTGTGTATTGTGGCACAACAATGATGGTGCCCTGATCCTTTATGATGGGCTAGTGGCACTATTACAGTGGGGTGGGGCATGCTTGATCATGCTTCATTCTGTGCATGGAATTTCCATGCTTCTAGAGCACTGACGTTGTCCAATATGTTACTAACAATGTGTAGATGTTTCAGGATCTTTCTTAGATGGATATCTACAATCTATGTCACATGTTAAGTCCCTAAGATAACATTTGACACCAAGCACATGGAAGTTTTCAGTTTCTCCTTCCTCTTCCACTGTACTTTCAGATTATAGTAAATCATCACCATTAAGTAAAACTAAAAACACTTACTGGCTATCCAGAACTTGGTGAAGAGCAAGAAATTGTGGGTTCCCAGAATACAATGATGTCGACTGGAAGACTTCCAGGTGGGGCGTTCCTACTGTAACTGTTACCACAGGCATCCAGGCTGAGACAGCAAAGAGGCATCTCTGCTGGGCAACCCTGTAAATTCTCTTCTTCCGGATTCACCTGCTGCAGACAGGAAAAGCATTTCAAGCTCTGTGATTAGATAGCTGGTTTTATTGAGGCCACCCTCCCTAAATCCTGTTTGGCTTTGAGGATAGCATAATGCTTACAGTAACTGTTATCTAGAGATAACAGGAAGAGTTTTTCTTTTATAACTGAGATTTTATTGGTTGAGGACCAGTAGAAAAACATGTTAATTCAGTTTTGTTTTCTTCCTTTTTGCATGCCACAATTCTTAACTGAGGATTTTCATCTACAATAAGATAGAGGAAATGAACACTGATATCTTGACTAACTCCTCAGATCTCTAAGATGCCTCCTTCCCACTACCCTTCAAATGCCATGTTAGGGCAAGAAAAAAGCATCCATGGTAAAAAGAATAAATAGGAAACCCAACACTAAGGAGACTGAGTTAGGAGTATTGCAGGAAATCTGAGACCAGCCTTGAGAGATAAACTGTCAGGGAAGGAGAGAGGCATGAAGGCAAAGGACAATGGGAGAATGGGAAGGGATTTTCTCAAAGTGGGATATGTCCATTGTTTTCTACTACTAATCTCCACTAGCATTTGTTAGAAAGGTGACAATAGCTGAGGCAGAGTCAGCACCTGTCCCAGGACTCCACTTTCAAAATGGAACAGGACGAACTGCTGTTACACTGCTACCCAGTGAGTGACAGCCTCAGAAGTCATCAACTACCATGAGGAGAGGAGGTAGGGACAGCCTCATGGCTTTCTGCTTTCTGGTCAATCCCACTGCAAGTTGTGTTTAATGTTGGTGAAGGGACAGGCTAGAGGACAAATTTCAAACAGCTCTGTTCCCCAAGGCCCAGGTACTGCAAATGGAACAATACAAGCCTCATGATAAGAGAATCTTGATGATAAACTGAGTCTCAGAAATGATCGACCAGTATTTGAACTGTGTACGTATGGCCTGAGTCTGCCCCATCCCCACTGACCTTCCTCTTCTCAGCAGTGAACTTCTGTAGTAGGAGAGGATGATTGGATGGGAAGCTGTCCCCAAGCAATGATGATAGCTGTTGCCTTCGGGCACCTTCCCTAATTACCACTCCAAAAACATCTGCATAGCTTGACCACCTTTGTGCTCCCCTGAGCAGAGTGAGGCCTGGCCTCTGTGACTTTCCATAAGGAATCATTGTCATGGTTACATGTGTGCCCTTGACAGGTTGGCAGCTCACTCTATTAAAGTGGCCTGTGGTTCACAACTAAAATAATGTGAGCAGGAATCAATTTCTGGTAAATCAGTGCAGACATTCTTTGTGGAAAGACCTGATCACACATCAGTGAGAGGACAAGACAAGGAGCTTTCTTGAAAGGGATCACTAAGGCATGGTTCATTGTTCCAGGGGTTTTCAAGGTAGAAGACAAATGACATTTTGAGAAATGTTTCCATAGCAAGGACCAAAGGAGCACCCTCATAGTGCATGCCATGAATGACCTACAGGAGGGGACACCATGCCCACACTGCATAAGAGGCCCCATAGAGATCTGCACAACCCTCATGTGCCTATCAATGGAGGACCATCCTCTGCTGTTATATTAACTGCCTGTGATATGCCTTCATGGGAGCAGGTCACAGAAGGAAGGAAAGGCAGCAAGGACCTTGTTGGGACTCTATTTTGTTATCTCTACTCAGAAGCAACAATTTTCCACATGAGCTCATGGTGCCTCTTTACCATGACCACAGTCACCAATTCAACAGCAAGGACTCTTCCAAGCACCACTGACTCCTCCCTACTTCCCCTTTCTGTTTGTGTAATATGCAGTTTATTTAATCTGGAGTCTCTGCTGTGTGTGTTGGTGTCTATGCCCACTTCCCTTGGAAAGAGCCAATGTTCCTCAGAATAGACTTGAGATATAAGAGAAGGGCTGTAATTACAGTCATCTATCAATATCCAAATGCTAAATTTTCTCAGAAAGGCTGAGCATAATCCAAGGCTAATTACAAATTACAAAGTAGCTTCAGGCAAACCTGGACTCAAAAGTATCCACTGCTTCAATCCTAAAGAGAAACAGGTACTAGAGAGTTCCAGAATATCAATGTAAGCAGGCTTAACTCTAACACAAAAACTGCCTGGATATCACCATACCCTGAAAATAGCCTAGGCTAACATGGTCCCTGAAAAAGCCCATGCTAAGTATCTAAAGTGAAAGTATACCAGGATTAACCATTAAACCAAGATGTCAAGACAAAAGTATTCCAAGGCCTGAGGATGAACCTGATGAAGACCAGGAATAAAGCCTAAATTAGCAATGGCTTTCCCTTATCTAGAAAAGCCAGAGACCAACCCTAAGAATAAAATT